CTGCCTCCGCCTCCCAAGTAGCTGGGACCACAGGCACCTGCCACAACGCCCAGCTATTTTTTGGTTACAGCCGTCATTGTTGTTTGGCGGGTCTGGGCTGGGGATTTGAACCCGCCATCTTAGGTGTACATGGCTGGCGCCTTAGCCGGTTGACACTACAGGATTCTTGTCATTGGGTGTGATAATGGTCTTGTGGTTCTACAGGAAAATGAATGCAACATTTTGGGTGGAAATTACCCCCCTCTAAAAATCCCAGTGTATTTATCTCAGTGTTTTTCAGCCCTTTTTCATTATTATTCCCTAAAGGGATTTTTAGACATTTTTCTTTAATTGCCACCTCATCATCCTCATGAATTTGTTGTTGTTGTTGTTTGAGACAAGGTCATGCTCTGTCACTGAGGCTGGAATGGAGTGACATCATCATAGCTCACTGCAACCTCAGACTCCTGGGCTTGAGTGATCCTCCTGCCTCAGCCTTTTGAGTAGCTGGGACTACAGGTGCCCACCACTACACCCAGTTAATTTTTTTTTTTTTTTTTGCTGTTTTCTTGGCCAGTGATGGGTATGAACCTGACACCTCCAGCATATGGGGCCGGCGTCCTACTTTGAGCCACAGGTGCTGCTCCACCCAGCTAATTTTTAAAGTTTTGTAGAGACAGTCTCTTTATGTTGCCCAGGCTGGTCTCAAACTCCTGGCCTCAAGCAATCCTCCTGCCTCGGCCTCCCAAAGTGCTAGAAGTATAGGTGTGAACCACACAGACCTCATGCGATTTTAATAGCACAGGTATGTCACATATCCACTTAGGTGCTGTATGCAGGTCTATGCTCTATGCATACAGAATTAGGACATTTTTTCATCCTTAAGAACCAATTTCCATTCCTCTGTGATATCACCTCAGGGTGATATCAACCTGTTGAGGATGCATGTGTGACTTTATTTTCCCTCTGGGGCCTAGTCACAAGATGCAGCTCTGTCTTTTTTAGAGGTGCCTTCTCCTCACCAAGGAGGTCCTGTGGTGACCTCCAGGCACTAGTGTGCCCTGCCCCCTGCCCCAGGGCTCACCTTCCGGTAGTCTTCCACGTGCTGCAGGTGGCTTTCTTGGCAGATGCACAAATTCAGGAAGTTCTGCCACTCCAGCTTCAGGGCCTCTTGGTGGGTCTGGGGATAGCAGCCCAGCAGGGACCCTTGGACCACGGCAGCCGACCGCCCCTCCATCTGCCCCTCTCTGCCCCTTCCCAGCCTCCCCAAACGCCCACCGCCCAGCGAGGGAGTGTCTGGGCAGTGGGCGGGGCTCATCCTGCACCTGGATGGGCCCCACCGCTGGGTGCCCGAGCTGCACCATGCGCTCCCCGTCATCTTCCAGCTGGTTCACACTCTGCTCCTGGCTCAGCAGCTCTAGCTGCTTGAAGTGCTGGGGGCGAATGTGGTCGGGGTGTGGTAGTGAGGACCGGGTGGTCCCGGCGGCCCGTCCCTCCCCGCCCTGTCCCCCAGCAGACCTCGTACTCCCGCCTCACGCCGACGGGGTCGGCCATGTGGTCGCTCCAGTCCTGCTGCAGGATACGGCGCTGCTGCTCCGCCAGGGCGCTCAGCTGCCGCGTGCAGCCCTGCAGGTGTGTGTACAGGCTGCCCAGGCTCTGCCCGCGCCACGAGGCTGCCTTCTGCGCTCAGGACCCAGCCGCCAGATGGGGAGAGAGAAGCGTGGCAAGAGAAGCCATCAGGCTGCCGGCACAAACACAGGCCCCAGCCAGGGACCACTCGGCCACCCATGCAGCCCCGGCCACCCAGCCGGGCCTCCCTCCTGCTCACCAGTAGGTCTCGGTATTGGCTCCGAATGGTGGCTGCGTCCTGCCTCGACCAAGGATAGAACCACAGGCTGTTAGAGGCGGGTGCTGGGAGATGGCACACCATGGGCACCCCGCTGTGCCCCACCCATCTCGCTCCCCAGGCGGGGCTGATGCCGGGAGAAGCAGGGGCAAGAGCTGGGCGTCCCTTCCCGGGGGTTCACCCACCGGCCCCACGAGGGTCCTTAGCTGCTGTCCATAGGCCTCAATCTCCTTCTGCAGGATGTTGTGCTCAGCCACCTGCTGCTCCAGCTCCGCCATGCCGGGCCCGTACTGGCCCTCGCAGACCTGCTTCTGCAAGGGTGCTGGCCTCAGTTACGCCACAGAACCCCACAGCACCCCGCCCCGGGGAGAGGAGCTGGCCAGTTGGGCCCACCATGGACCCGCCAGCCGAGTGAATGGCCTGCGCTCATCTGGGGGCATGCCATTTTCCAGTGGTCCTGGCTGAGGTGTTGGTATCCTAGGGCTTAGCCTCTGAAAAGTCTCCCCATTGTGTCCTGTCTCATCTGTGGCCCCAGCTTCAATGCCTCTTGCCTGGAGACCTCCAGCTAAGCTCTAGGACCCTCAGCATGCTCTGCTCCTCCCAGCCCCTTCCCCACTGTCCCTCTCAGCTCTCGACAGGACATCCCTTGTTTTTTTTTTTTTTTTTGGACATCCCTTCTATTGTGGCATCAAAGCACAACTCCTCATCCAATGGTCAGAGGTTCTGCCCACTTGCCCATAAAACCCCAGGCTTCCTCTCAGCAGGAGCCTTTGCTCCTTCTTTCTGGAGCATCCTCTCAATCATTTTACTATAATCCACTGGGTCCTCTCACCAACCTGAGGCCTCTTCATGTGCCTCCTCCTGCAGGAAGCCTTCCCTGACTTCACCGTCTGCTCTGCTCTCTCCCTTCCCAGGTCCCTGAATCACCCCCAGGTTCAAGTCCTGGATCAAATGCAATTCTGTATTGCTTTCTTTTTTTTTTTTTTTTTGAGACAGAGCCTCAAGCTGTCCCCCTGGGTAGTGTGCAGTGGCATCAAAGCTCACAGCAACCTCCAACTCCTGGGCTCAAGCGACTCTCCTGCCTCCACCTCGCAAGTAGCTGGGACCACAGGCGCCCACCACAACGCCCGGCTATTTTTTGGTTGCAGCTGTCATTGTCATTTGGCGGGCCTGGGCTGGATTTGAAACTGCCTTAGCTGGTGCCTTAGCCACTTGAGCTACAGGCGCTGAGCCGTGTATTGCTTTCTGATTGCTCTGGGGTGTGACTTTGAACTTCTTGAGAGTATCTCAGATGTTGGGGGTGCCTCTAACCTGTTTTTGCTCCAGCACACGTGCCCAGTCAACCCTGGGCCCCATGTCAGGCGGCAGCACCATCTTCTCATACAGGGCACGGTACTCGGCACACTCCTGGGTCACCCGCTCGTGCAGCTGCTTGATGCTACCAAGAAAATGGCCAGCATGTCAGGACTGGACTGGGCCTGGGTCTTCCCCAGGGACCTCCAGTGCCTCTGTCCATGAGCCCCAGCCCTGGCCGCTGCCCCACTCACTCCTTCTCAATCTCCTCGGCCTGCGGGTGCTTGAGCCTCCGGGCCTTATCCACATCCAGGAAGAGGTCCTTGAGCAGCACCTCAGCCTCCTTCAGGCTGCGGCCTGTCTCCTGCTGGTGCTGCAGGGCCTGGCTGTGCTCGCTGTTCACCCGGTCCTGTGGGCATGGGACAGGGAGTCCCACACACCGTTGCTGTCTCATCATGGCAGGCCTGAGTCCCACCTTTGGGACCCCACTATACCAGCCAGCCTCAAGGTCAGAGGGTCAAGCCCAGGACATCTGTGGGGCAGGCAGCAGGGACATGAGGGGAACCCTGGCTTCTCCTTTTGATCCTCAAGATTGGGAGCCCAAGAAAGAAGGGAGGCCAAGCCCTTTCTTCCACTGTTGCCAGAGAGCGGGCAGTATAAGATAGGGGTGTCTGTGCCATCTTCACCATCACAGCTGGGCACTTTGGGTCTGCTAGGCATGACAGTGGGTCTTCTGTGCCACTAGGCTGTCCCCACGGCCTCCCACCTGCTGCACGGGCCTCACCTGCTGCAGCCTCTTCTGGGTCTCCAAGATGTCCCTCTCTACCTGGTCGGCATTGGCTTGCATGCGGGAGATGAGCAGGGCCAGTTCTTGGGTGGCAGCTCTGGTGGTTGGTGGGAATAGAGGCTAGCATGGTGGCCCCTAGTGCCCCACCCAGGTGAGGTCCCCTATACCCGGGCTCACTGCTCTGGAGGGAGGAGTCCATGGGTTGAGGGGACTCCGAGGTCTCTTTGGAGGAGACAGAGATATTCAGTCCCGGAGGATGTGGGTGACAGAATTGTTCCCAACATGAGGGTTCAGAAAGTGAGGGTCTCAGGTGTATGTGGCACAGGGGGCCAAGTGAACCTGGCATCTTAGCCTCAGCCAAGAGCCCTGGCAGTGAGTCTCTAGCCTGCCCAGCCGCCTGCCCACTTACACAGCACCCAGGAAGCAGGTGCGTCATTGGTTTAGCTGCTAATACCTGAAAGCCTGGGGGGCCCTGAGGAAAGGTCACTGGGCTAGCTGCAAGCAAGGAACCTACTTCCTCCCACTCTTGCCCTGTCTCTCTCTCCTTGTCCCTGCCCACCTAGGGGTTTTGCCACTGTCTAGGCTTTAGGCACCAGTGGGAGGAGCCACTCCAAGTTGTGGTGGGAGGGGCAGAGATTTGAGGGTTGAAAGCCCAGACAGGGATCTAACTTGCTCTGGTTCACACAGTCAGGAACAGAGGGTAAGCCTGGTCTTGTATCCCAGGATTGTGACTGTGTATTTGTTCAGCAGTCTCTAATAGGGCACCTGCTGTATGCTTGCACTTACTCTCTGGAGGTCAGGGCAGAGTGGTCTAAGTCTCATGAGAATGGCACCCTGTGGGGGTCACAGTCCGGGGGAAGGGGGAACCTTCATAGAGCTGGGACTTGAACTAGGGGTCAAAGGATAGGCCTGGTGGAAGTGCAGTGCTGATAAAGACAGCCTGTTCTTTCAGACAGTCTGAAAGAACTCTGTGGCCAAGATGGCCTGCGTTGGAGCGTTTTTTATCCAGCTGCTGTGTGACCTTGGGCAAGTTACTCAGACTCTCTGTGCCTAAGGTTGCTTACTTATAAAATGGGTGTTTAATACTATTTACTCCTCAGGGTTACTGTGAGCATCAATCAAGTTAATCTAACTGAAGCATGTGGGGCAGAGCCAGACACAGATTAAGTATCCAACCTGTTTTTATTCCACTAGGGAGTAAGCACTCTGAAGGCAGGGACCCGACAGCAGCCCAGTGACTACAGCAGTCTCAACACACAGGAAGTGCTCAGCAGATAAGTGCACATGAGGGGAGTGAGGAGCCTATTTCAGGGGCTGCAGCCAAAGCCAAAGGGGCCCTGAGGATGGAGCTGGCTCAGGCCAGTGCACTGCTGAGGACTCAGGGCCAGTCCCTAGGACAGCTACTCCCATTGGGAGCAACACACTCCACCCTGGGTTGGGCTAAAGTGTCCCAGGGAGGATTGGTCACTCTAGTGAGAGTCTTAACCGGAGTCTTAACCACCCTTTCCTGTCTGTCCAGAGGCCCAGCCTCAGTGTCTGTCAGGGCCTTGATCCCTATCAGGGTAATGAGCGGCCCACTCCCACACCCACCCATCCTCTCTACTCTTATCTGGACACCAGCCCAGGCAGGTTGCCACCACCACCTGTAGAGGGGGCTGAAGCCAGCGATTGGGAAGAACACCACCAAGTCTATCTGTAGAGAGCCAGAGCTGGGCCCAGCAGACAACAGGGTGACTCAAGGGAGCCATAGCTCCCTATCCACATACCCACACAAAAAGAAACCCCCCAGTCCTTTAACAAAATTCTCAAGGCCCAGGCACATTCCCTTGGTCCTCCTGCTCACCCTGCATCCAGGCCCCAAGGGTCAGCCCAGCCAAATGGAGCCTTGAGAACAGAGCTGCCATCAGGAGCCAGATGCCTGGAGCCAGGCTCTCCCATTTCCCAGCCTCTTGGCAGGGGGGTCAGTGGCTCCTATCCAGTTTTTCTCTCACAGGGTGGCCTGAAGGGAACTTCAACTTATGGCCCTGGGTAGGGGGAGCCTTGGAGTACCTCAGGGCCTCCAGGCTATCTTTCACCTTCCACCAGGGCTGCAGCTTGGCCACAGCCTGGGACCCCTAAGGCAGGGAGAGTCCAACCCTGGGCCTTTGGCCTCGGGACAAATGCCAGTACTGGGTTGGTCCTGGGCTCTAGGCTGCCACTGTCAAGTGCTAAAACACTTGGGATAAGCAGTACCTTCACCCCAGCTCCCCAGCCCCACTCACCGGCTGTGCTTGCTGGGGGAACCCTTTGGAGACCCCTTGGCTGGGGAGCCCTTGGGGGATCCCTTCCCCTGGGAGCCTTTGCTCAGGCCCTTGAACATGATCGTAAAGGCAGATGCTGGCTCAGGCTGGGTTCAGCTGGCACAGGAGGGCAGGTGGGTGGCGGGCAGGTGTCCTTGCTGTCTGGTCAGCTGGGCTCTGGCACAGTGGAACGGTCGGTTGGGCCTGGAGAAGGCAGTTTCAGGAGGCCCCTCCCTGCAGGTGAGGCGGCAGCGAGGGGCCTGGGCCTAGGGCTGCCGCGCAGGCACCTGGCTGGCTGCACTTACACCCGCCCTGTACAACCAGTCTGGGAGGAAAGGGCATCGCCCACAGGGCGGGGCGCCAACCCTGCCCGACTCCCACAGAAGGTTTGGGCTTGTTACACCCACACACCCAGAGGGAATTCAGCAGCAATCACACCCAGATCGGGAAATAGCCAAGGCCTGGAGAAACGGAGCTAGAGACAGACAGAGAGAGACACACACATACTCTCAGGCACAGGCTCAGGGACAGGCTCTGTGGCCTATGCCCAGGAGAGGTGGGGCCCTCCTGCCAGCCCAGGGCTCCAGGTCTCCACCTCCTGTTCTTCCCTGACATGATGGAGCAGCCAGGGGACATTCACCCTAGACAACTGGCACAAAGTACATTTCAAAAAGTAGGTACCACCAGCTGGGTCTCCAGAGCATGGCCCTGGCTGGCCCAGAGTCATCCCCTCTGGGTGTGGCTGCAGAACTGGATGTGGGAGGACGCACATCACTGAGGTCCTCAGGATTCTCAGGCCAACTCCAGACAGGCCAGGGTGTGCCTTGGACGCCCACCCCAAGGAGCCACCAGCACACACCTTCAGGTGCTGCTAAACCCAGGCTCTGGCTGAGCCCCTGGGGACCTGTTGCATGCCTGCAATCAACTGTTCTCAGAAAGAGGCCATTTTTTTGCTGACTGTAGGGCCAGGGGCCATCCCTTATCACCCCCCTCTCTTCTCATGCCCAAGTCAGCACAGCTGCCTTCGCCTTTCAGACTGGCCTTTGGGGTGGGGGGTGGCACTCACTGGAAGTGGGGTCTGGGGGGCACGATGTTTTCCGCTGAGGTGAGCTGGGCAGGGGAGAGGTGCTCTGTGCAGAGGGCAGGCACCCAAAGGCTAGAACATTTGTGTTTCTCCTCTCTGCAGAAGCCCTCCTGGAACTAAATGAGCCCTGCAGGGGACCTTCACACGCCTGGAGATTAGGGACTAACTGATTCACTGCAAGAAAAACAAGAGCTGACTTTCCGGCGTGACTGTCTCATGCTGGATCAAATTAGACCCAGATAAAGGCGGCTGGACAACTGGCAGGAACACCTGGGCTCTGATGCGATTTGTCATCAGAGGAGGCTCCTGCTCACATGGCAGGGACCCTGGCCCCCAAGAAGAAAACAAGGGAAAGATATCGACAGAGAGCATGGCTCTCTCTGTGCTTCTCTCTGGCCCCTCAGCCTTTAGAGAGAGAGGATTTATTCACTTAGAACTGTTTTTCAACCTTTTTTTAATCTCACCACACACTTGAACCTATAGTTAAACTTCCATGGCACATTTAAATTATGTCGATCAAAGAAAAAAAAAGATTAAAAAACGAGAATGTATTCACTGTGTTTTGAATTTCTTTAGAAAATAATTCAATTAATGATCTTCAAAAATTTTCCCAGCATTGACTTGGCGCCTATGGCTCAAGTGGCTAAGGCACTAGCCACATACACCTGAGCTGACGGGTTCGAATCCAGCCCAGGCCCACCAAACAACAATGACGGCTGCAACCAAAAAATAGCTGGGTGTTGTGGTGGGAGCCTATAGTCCCAGCTACTTGAGAGGCAGAGGCAGGAGACTCGCTTGAGCCCAGGGGTTGGAGGTTAGAGTGCCCACGACACTCTACCCAGGGCGACAGCTTGAGGCTCTGTCTCAAAATAAATAAATAAATAAATAAAAACTTCACAGCACACCTAAGATCCTCTCATGGCATACCAGTTGAAAAATCATGGATTTAAAAGGCCAGGATGGGACAGACTGACTGGATGGAGACCTTTGGTGTCCCACACGGCAGCCACAAGCCCTGCTATGTGTAGCTGTGGAGCATTTGAAAATGCAGGGTCCACACACAAGTGTGGTTTTCTTTTTTAGAGTCTGACTATGTCACCCCTGGTAGAGTGCCATGTCATCACAGCTCACAGCAACCTCCAACTCTTGGGCTTAAGCGATTCTCTTACCTCAGCCTCCCAAGTAGCTGGGACTACAGGCACCCACCACAACACCCGGCTATTTTTCTTTTTTCTTTTTTTTGTAGAGACAGAGTCTCACTTTATTGCCCTTGGTAGAGTGCTGTCACATCACAGCTCACAGCAACCTCCAACTCCTGGGCTGAAGCGATTCTCTTGCCTCAGCCTCCCAAGTAGCTGGGATTACAGGCATTCACCACAACGCCCGGCTATTTTTTGGTTGCAGTTCAGCTGGGGAGAGGTTTGAACCCGCCACCCTCGGTATATGGGGCCGGTGCCCTACTCACTGAGCCACAGGCACTGCCCAACACCCAGCTATTATTTTGCTGCAATTGTTTAGCTGGCCTGGGCTGGGTTTGAACTCACCACCCTTGGTGTATGTGGCTAATGCCATAACTACTGTGCTACGGGTGCTGAGCCCCGATGTACTTTATGTGTAAAATTCACACTGAATTTTAAAGACTTACATGGAAAAAGAATGTAAAACCTCTCATAAATGTTTTGTATTGATTACATATTGGAATATTTTTAATATACTAAGTTAATGAATTTTTATTTGAGACAAGGTTTTGCTCTGCTGCTCAGGCCCAATCATAGCTCTTTGGAGCCTCTAACTCCTGTCCTCCAGTGATCCTCCTGCCTTGGCCTCCCAAAGTGTATAGACTATAGACCTGAGTCACTGTGCTCAGCCAGAAATGTATCTTAAAATATCACCTGTTGCTTTTTACTTTTACTTTTTTTTTTTTTAATGTGGCTACTAGAAAATGTATTTTTTTCAGGGCAACACATTTTATATAAGAAGAACAAAGAGAAAGTTTGGGGCATTTCTAAAGAGAGTTGGAGGTGGGTCCCTCTCATGAAGAAGTAAAGGTGAGAGAGCTAGAGA